ACCAGGCCTGTTTTCACTGGGCCTGTCTGTCAGTCGGTCGGCTTTCGCACAACCCTGGCCTGTTTTCACTGGGCCGTCAAGTCTGATCGGCTTTCGCACGACCAAGGGCCTGTTTTCACTGGGCCTGTCTGTCAGTCGGTCGGCTTTCGCACAACCTTGGCCTGTTTTCACTGGGCCGTCAAGTCTGATCGGCTTTCGCACGACCAAGGGCCTGTTTTCACTGGGCCTGTCTGTCAGTCGGTCGGCTTTCGCACAACCTTGGCCTGTTTTCACTGGGCCGTCAAGTCTGATCGGCTTTCGCACGACCAAGGGCCTGTTTTCACTGGGCCTGTCAGTCAGTCGGTCGGCTTTCGCACAACCCTGGCCTGTTTTCACTGGGCCGTCAAGTCTGATCGGCTTTCGCACGACCAACACAAGACAACAAGAGTCAGAACAACACTGGAAACAAGTTGTGTGTCTTCAGTACGCGTGCGAAACTATGCCAATGAGCATAGAGTCTCGTACTAAATCCACTTTTGAGAACTTAAGGCGTTTCTGAAACTATGCCAATGAGCATAGAATCACGCGTTAAGTCTCTTAGATACCAGAACAGGCACTGATTACTCGAAGCTGTCTAACTGGTGAACCCAAGGCTGACTCTTTGAGAACTTAAGACGTTTCTGAAACTATGCCAATGAGCATAGAATCACGCGTTAAGTCTCTTAGGGACCAGAAGAGGCACTGATTATTCGAAGCTGCCTCACTAGTCAACCCAGTTTCTCTAACTGGTGAACCCAGTTTCTCTCTCAAGTCTTTTCACACCCTTCCTTATCAAAACAAAATTAGATTTTGTTTCGGGTGTTTTAAAACATAAAAATCTACAAGGCATGTCCAATTAATCAGAAAAAGTACTAATTAAATTTTAAAATAATTTATAATAATTTATGACGTCATCTAAATTGCAAAACAAAAAAAATACGTTGTCACCTATCGAGTAAATTAACTTGCACCATGCCCCCTATCGAGTGAATAAATTTCGCGTTGAAAATTTTGCAGTATTTTTAGTCAGCATTATTTCATAATTCTGACACTTTCCACCACCCCCTCTTTCTGGTTAAAATAAGGTATGGCGAGCAAATTGTACAGTTCAAATGATAGTTCTCTATATAATGGCATATGCATAAAATAACAAAACAATGACATTTGTCTGAAAATTGTACAGTTCAAATAAGTCTCTATATAATGGCACATGCATAACAACAAACAAAATTAAATTAAAATTAAACAAAACACAGGAAACAAAAAAAAAAAAAACATTGTTTTCATACATGCTTCAATTTATTTATGTGTACGACAATGGTTTTATAACCATTACACTTCTTAATCTCAAAATTTACATCACTTATTTTTCTTGAAATCATGTAAGGGCCGTCATATAACTTTGTCCCCTTAGGATACTTATTTTTAACGTGCTTTGGATTATAATAATAAACCATTTGTCCTTCTGAAAATTGTTTATCCTTTACTCTTAAGTCATACTGTGCAAGTAATATTTTAACATCTTTTTCTTTATCAACAAATTGACCCAAATCTGGTACTACTGAATGTTTGATGACGTCTTTAATTAAAGATAGGTCTTTGTCTTTCACTTGTTCTGCAACCCAATCAACACCGTTTTCTACTTTGTTTTCTGTTATAACACCACATACTGCTCTCGACAATCCATCAGCGTTTGTATGTTTACTTCCTGGCCTATGCTCAATAGTGTAATCGTACTCTTCAAGAATTTCAATCCATC